CTTCTAAGGTTAAAGAAGATGCAGAATTTGCATGTGCACTTACTTCATCTACCCCTGCAACAAAAAAGAAAGTGTTGAAAAAGGGTTGGTAAATCTGCTGGTTTTTCAGCTTTGTTCTGTTTTTTCTATTTTTCAATGGAAAAATTTTTAAATGACAAAAGTTATAAAACTGTATTATAAGTTTAGAAATTAAAGAAAAAGAATACATAATCCCATTTTTTTAAAATTGTGTTTTCCTTCCAATATCTTTTCCTATTATTTTATTTAGGTCAAAAATTGATGGGAGGAGGTCCCTTACTCATCTGAGTAGCAGAGGTATTTCTTCTAGTGAAGGCACAGAGCAATTTATCGCTGCTTTAAAACTTAATTTGGATTCATTTAAATTATAATAAAGATTTATTTCCTGTATGAGTAGAATTTGCCTTTTAAGAATGTTAGTGTTCTTTATTATTTATTATAATTTTGTATTTTGTAATTGACAGGAAAACAACATTGCTTAGGAGTCTAAATATTTGAGACAGAGATTGAACTCAGGTTAAAGAGATTTGGCACAAGTTGTATCTCTGTACCTAAGTCTCTTTTATTTTACATGTTAGGGATCCAGCAGACAAAGGTGTATTTTCATGGAGCTTATGCCTAACAATAAGAGAAACATTAAATAAGTAAATCATAATTATGGACAGTAAGTGCTGTGAAGAGGAAAACAAGATAGTGAAATAAGGATTAACTGAAGGAGCCTTTTTAAGATGGTGATATTTGAGCTAACAGAATGATAGGAAAGAGCTAACTTTTGGTCTAAGACAAACAATTAGGAATAGAAAATACTAGCATTTTAGATTACTTTTGACCATTGTTTTAGAAATTTTAAGAAATGTTGAACTTTTAGTTGAGATAGAATTAGAATTGAGATGGAATTAAGTTCACACAAAAAGTTTCTGTTGCAGACACATAGCCGTTAATACAAGAAACTTAAAAATTCATAGCTGCGATAAAACCAAAGAAAACATATTTCTGGAAGAGAAACAAAAATCAGAGTGGAGACAGAAGCCATATCTTGTGGTAAATAGTGATTTCTTAAGACACAAAGTCATAAGGGAAAAATTAAATTCTACATTTAAAATTTCCATGCATCAAAAGGCACTGTAAACAGTGAAAAATGATGAAGCTGCAGGAGATATTGATGATAAGTATAACTTACAAAGGATTAATATCTGGAATATGTAAAGCACTCTCTACAGATCAGTTAGATAAATAATAGAACAGCCACTAAGAATATAAATGTACAATCTATGGAAAGAAAACCTAAAGATATACTACCTACAACTCTATAGAAATGTACAAGGAGACATAAAAAATAGTTTTCATTGATGCATTATTTTAGTGAAATATTGGAAATGTAAATAGTGCTTAGTAGGGGAATAGAAAATAAAATTGGAGGGTGTCCTTCCAACACTGACTTCCCCCAGAAGGAGTGAATAGAGAGAGAGAGAGAGAGTGCATCTAAGGAAGAAAAGCTGTATCTTTTATAACTTAATGTCAGAAGTGATGATATATCCTTTCGGTCACACAGACCAACCCTAGTAAATTGTGAGATGGGACTATACGAGGTATGACTCTCAGGGAGTGGATTATCATTGGGGGCCATCTCGGTGTCTGGCTACCCCATTAACTATAGTACAAATTCAGAAAACTGCATAAAACAAATGCTCATCTTAATGAATAGCTATGAATAACTAGTGACTATCAGGAGGTAGTCAAACTTTCTCCTTGTGTCCCCTCCCAATCACAGTCCTCTACCTCTCACCATAAATGGTCAGTGTCTGGGTATTTAGTTGTTTAAAGTGGCAAGGTAAAATCTAGTTCCTGTTACTTCATCATAGAGGGAAACAGAAGTCCATCTGCTTAATTTTAATTCTTCCTAATTTCTCTTTTCATAGAGGTACATGTTGTTATCTCTTTATTGACTTCATACATATTTGAAAAAAAGCACCTAAAATCTGTGTCACTGATCCATTCTTTCAGGAGCATCTGCAGCGGAAGGTTCAAAGAAAACTGATGTCGAAGAGAGATCTAGAACAACACTGATCATATGTCCACTTTCTGTGTTAAGCAACTGGATTGTAAGTCTTCACAGCCTTTTAAAAATGAATAATTTATATTTGTCTTCTACAATAAGAAATAATCTGTTAATATGTCATTCATTAGGAGAAATATATTTGGTCAGCACTTCAAGTTCAAATAATTGTTAGGTGAATTGGAGTTATATTTGCTGAATTGAAGTAATTTTTCTTTGAAGATATACAGTAGAGAAAGAAACATTTTCAGTTGCTATAAGATTTGGTTTATACGTCTGCCCCTGCAATTTCTGTCCCCCAAAGTAGGAAATGTGTATAATTTAAGACCACCATATTTATGAACTGTTGGAACATCTTTCAAGAACTCCACTAACAATAACTTTTTATAACAGCTTATAACATTTAATGAGCTCCTGTGTGCTCAGTTTTTTCCTAAGCTTTTTACATAGATTTTCTCATTTAATTTTCACAATTATTCTCATTTTCCAGGTAACCAAATTGAATCACAGAGAAATTATGTAATTTGCCTAAGGTCATTCAGCTAATAAATGATGGACCTACATTCTGACTGTAGAGTCTCTGCTTTTAAGGCTACCCACAAAAAAAATGTGTGTGTGTGTGTTTTTCTTACAGATTACTTTTCTGTTCTGAAAACATTACTTTGGAGAGAAACTCTTTCTGTAATATGCGTAAGGAACAGCTTGGTTCTGTTTCCTTTCCAGTTAGAGCTTCAAGCTGCATGTTATAATGAAATAATGACTCTTAGGAGCACTGTAGTAGAGGTCACTGGATGTGAACTTCTATTCTTGTCACCTCAAAGGTTACCTGCCTTGGTCTTTCCTCTAATCTCAGAGGTGAAAGAAGTCTTATTCTTTGTGAGGCCAATACCTCAGTCTACACATTGGATTCCATCTCTTCCAGTCTTTGCATTTTATCTGTTATTTTTCCCCTTGCCTGGTTATTCAGTCTCTCCCCACTGGCTCTTTCAGGAAACATACTCAGATTTTTTTATTTTAAAATACTTTCTCTTGATTCGCTCACCTTTAAGTTGCTACTCTTCTGCTTTCTTTCACTGTCATACTCTTAGGGTTTAATTTCTACTTTGTGCTCTTACTAACTCCTTAACTCATTGTAGTCTGGTTTCTGCCACTGGTTCTCTAAACTGCATTGGAAAAGATTAGTAGTTATTGTCTGTCAAATTCCGTGGCCTCTTAAATTTCTTCTTAACTTTTATGTAGCCTTGCCTTCTTTGACTCTTTATCTTTTTATTAAAGTTTTTGGTATATTTTTTTTAAAAATTACATCTGATTAGTGTGCCATTTTTCCTCTTAGGACCAGAATGAATTTTAGTTTGCTCTAGCTCTTTTTAAAATTCCAGCGAAACTATGCCTTTTCTTTTGATTTGTGATCCATCATGGGAAGGGCAGTACATGGATACTTGAATGACAGTTTCAGGATAAGGTTTACAAGTATTAGTGGAGATATAAACAATAGAACTGATTCTTTAAGAGTTTGGAGTATGGATAAGTATTTTTAAAAATGGGTACTCAGTATTATAGTTTTATATTTGGAAAACAAGTTTTGGTAATAAAAACTTTAGAAAGGAAACCATTACAAAATTTGCCTACTAAGGTTATGGTAAAACTGATTTTTAAAGGGATGAGGGATGGCTGGACATATAGGGATTCCGTGTCAAGATTTAGAATTTTACAATATCTCAGCAAGCTACTCTTTTCCTAGTCCCCAAGTAAATGACCTAGCACCCTACTGAGCAGGCTAAAACTACCTTATTTTCATGTCTTCATCTTTAAAAATGGGCAAGAATCTAGTTAAAGGAGTAATATACCAATGTCACTTCCACCACTTACATTTTCTGATATTTAGATAAATTATTTATTCTCCCAATGGAAATGAAATAATACCTATTTCTTCACACACATACATACATAACATAGCAAAATGACTAGAAACTAAATGATATAGTTCTCCTTCTCCAGAAGAGTTAATTATCTTCTATTTCAAGTCTAAGCCTTCCACAAATATACTCTGTTCTGTTTGAAGGCAATCCCATTGATTCATTCATTTTTTTCCCCCCACCATACTTCTTGATAAAATTTTCCGCATTTTTCACCTTCATTCTTTCATGTTTTAGCCTCTCTTCTCAGTCTTTTTGCCTTATCTGTTTCAGGTTTTATTCTCTTTTCAAGCCTGCAGTAGCAGTTTTTGTTCCTGCCTTCTTTAGAAACTCTTTGTGAAGGCTTTCAGTGAGTGACCTCATTGTTGCTATGTCTAATGAGTTCTTTCTTTTCCTCTACCCTGGCTTTGTTTCCTTTTTCATCACCTTTTGTTAGATCTTAGGTTGTAAGTCATCTTTAAATCTTGTAAAGAGAGGGAATGAACATAAATTAAAAATTTAAATATTAATCTTGCATTTCTTCTTGAAACTTTGTTCTTTGGCCTTTCCCAAAACTTTGTTTGCTTCCCCAACTTTCTTACCACTGTTTTGTTCCACACCTATTTTCCTCCCATGGTTCCTATTTAGTTGGCCTATTTTGCCCCCTTAAAGCATAGAATTTTTTTTTAAGTATTATGAAAATTTTTAATGAGATCTTCATTTACTCATCAAGATTCAAGAATTTCAAAATTTGCTTTACTTTTTTATTTTTTTGCTAGAATATTTTTTTAAGTTTATATGCATTTGCTTTTTTCCCGTGTTTATTGAAATATAATAGACAATTGGTTGCTTATATTTACATTGTACAAGTCAATGAGTTTTTTTCAATTCGTTGGCATACAATAATATACCAGTTTCAGTTGTATATCATAGTGATCAGAGATCCACATAACTCACAGAGCAATCACCCCACTAAATCTAATACCCCTCTTCCTCCTTACATATTTATTACGTTATTAACCATCTTCCCCATGCTACACTCTTCATCTTCATGTCTATTCTGTAACTATCTCAATTCCTTTGTCCTCTTTTTTCCTCTCAATCCCCGTCCCATCTAGTATTCCTCAGAATATTCTCTGTATCTATGAGTTTATTTCCGCTTTTGTTGTTGTTGTTGTTGTTGATTTTGTTCTTTACATTCCACATGTACATGAAATCATGTGATACTTGTCTTTATCCGACCCATTTCATTCAGCTCAATACCTTCTAGGTCCATCAAGGCAATATCTTTTTCCATCCGCTTCCTATTAGTCTGTGTGTGTCTTTTCATCTGAAGTGAGTCTCTTATAGGCAGCTTATGTAGGGGTCTTGTTTTCTTATCCATTCAGCCACTCTATCTTTTGGTTGGAGCACTTAACTCTTTTCTATTTGAGGTACTTGTTAATAGGAATATAGTTGCTACCCTTCTTTATTCCTGTTTTTGATGCATGTTTTTTCTTCTTAAAGAAGTCCCTCCAACATTTCCTGTGATACTTGGTTGGTGTTGATAAATTCCTTTAGTTTATTTTTGTCTGGGAAGCTCTTTATCCACTCTAAATGATAGTTTTGCTGGATAAAGTATTCTTGGTTGTAGATCCTGGGTTTTCATCAAGTTGAATATTTTGTGTCAAGCCCTTCTATCCTCTATAGTTTCTTTTGAGAAATCAGCTGCCAGTCTTATGAGTGCTCCCTTTTAGGTAACTAACTGCTTTTCTCTTGCTGCTTTTAAGATCCTCTCTTTGTATTTAACTTTTGGTATTTTAATTAGGATGTGTCTTGGTATGGGCCTCTGTGAGTTCCTGGTTTTTGGGACTCTGAGCTTCCTGGGGTTGTATGTCTATTTCCTTCACCAGGTTAGGGAAGTTTTCCGTGATTATTTCTTCAAATAGCTCTTCAGTGTCTTGTTTCTTTTTTTCCTCCTGGTACTCCTATGGCACAGATATTTTACATTTAATAGTGTCCCATAGGCTCCTTAAATTATTATTATAGTCTTGGCTTCTTTTTTCTTGCCATTCTGATGGAGTGTCCTTGGCTTTCCTTTCCTCTATATAAGTCATTTGATCCTCTTCTTTATTTACCTTGTTTATTTCATTTAATATTCTTCTCATCTCAGATAATGTGTTCTTCATTTCTGACTGGTTCCCGTTTATAATTTCCATTTTTATGTTTTTTATCTCTTTGTTAAAGTTCTCACTGAATTCATCTACACTTCCCATACATTCATAACCAGTGTTTTGAACTCTACATCTGTTAGATTGCTTGACTCCATTTTTCCTGGATCTCTGTTCTGTTCTCTCATATGGTTTCTGCTTCTTTTTCTTCCCATTTTGGCTGCCTTTCTGTGTCTGTTTCTATGTACTAAGCAAAGCTCTTAACTTTCCTGGTTTTATTAGTGTGGCTTTGTATAGTAGGTGTCCAGTGGCACAGTCCTGAGAGGGGTTCAGCTGCAGGCCAAGTTTAGCCCCAGCCTGTGCTCCTCCTGGGCCACTTGTTAAGATTTAGCAAGCAATCCACAGATGCTGTGCTTATAGTTGCCTCAAAAGGTCACACCGTAAACTGGGGCCAGCTGCCACCAGTGTGAGTCTTGGCGCTGCTCAGCAAGGGCACCTGACTAAGCAAGGACACAACTGGATGTGGCTTGGGTGGAGTGACCTCTGTCATCTAGTTTGATGATACCTTAGATATGGTGGTGCTACATCCACGCACTGGTAGTGCGGAGGGCTCAAAAGAGGAATAATGGATACTGCTGGCTCTTCTGTACAGAGCAAGTCTTGCCTCTGGCCCACACTCCTACAACTCAGTGCCCCCTGTAAGTCCCTAGTGCCCCCTGCACAGCCAGACTGTCGCTGGTGCTCAGAGCAAGCTGGTCTGTCCCTGCAAAAATTGGCTCGCGGGCATAGCCCTTTTAAGAGGCGTCTGCTGCTGCTACAGCCTTCGTCCCCCTCAGCTGCTTGGGACTAGCCAGCCCAGTGTCCTCGCCCCACCCTACCTTCTGCCATTGCAGGGTGATTTCTTAGTTCTCTCCCTAGTTGTGTGGCTTGTTCATCTAGACCTCAGGTGATTTTTCTTGCTGTTTGCTCCTTGTTTCTGTCACAACTTTGATTTGGTCACCAGAGAGATGAACAGAGCCTCTTTCATCTTAGCCATTTTTTTTCTCTGCTAGGATATCCCAGGCATCATGTTATAATTCCCAATAGAAACATAAGCCTGCTCTTTAAATATTGGTATTCTGTAGGCCTATTTTCTCATTGTACATGTTCTCCCTAGAAAATCTTACTTCATGTGTTGTCTGCTGATAACTTTAAAATCTATATCTGCACTTGCATTATGAACCAGTCTTTAAATTTTCCTAGTATACTTCTCCAGTCAGTTATTCTGTAGTGATCAAAATTTTTAAATGTATAAAATAATAGTTACTTTATCTGTTTCTCATCCTTATACTTATTTCCCTCCTTTTTTAAACTTCCCTATATTTTATCACACAGTTCTAGGCAGTCATTTTAAGTATGTGGCTTCTTTGTTTTCTTTATGAAGATATCCCATATTTAATTAGTCCTCAAGTCCCATCAATCCTTATTAGTATCTTTCTTTCGCACCTGTTTTTTATTCTATTCTTAATGCTATTTTGGTTTAGGGCTTCATCTCTTTCCTAATGGTTTCCCAGCTGTCTTTCTCTCTTGTCTTTAATCTAATCATGATATATATTTTTTTCGTGATTAATAAAAAGACCGAAAACAAGTTTTCAAAAACTGATTATGTCCTCGAAGAGGGCAGGAACCTGGTTTTACTTTTCTTTTCAGCTGTACGATCCTCTGGTTAATACCTGGCACATAGCAGGCATATAATGAATGAAAGTGGATACTGTGCTTGAATCTTTGCCTACATTCTTGAAAATAATTGGTTGTTCTTTTACTGCTTAATCTTCATATCATTAGGTCTATTTACTAACTGGAAACATTAAAGATACTTTGTGTTAAAATATTAAATTTTGAAAACCTAATTATTATTTTAAAGAAGCTTGGTTTTCCATATCTAAAAAGATATTCGCACACTGATATTTATAGCAGCATTATTCACAGTGGCCAGGACATGGAAGCAACCAAAGTGTCCTACAATAGATGATTGGCTAAAGAAGCTGTGGTACATATATACAATAGAATATTACTCAGCCATAAGAAGAGATGAAATACTGCCACTTGCGACAATGTGGATGGACCTCGAGATAATCATGCTAAGTGAAATAAGCCAGACTGAAAATGTTGAAAATCACATGCTATCACTTATATGTGGGATATAAACCTAAAAGCAGCAAACAAACAGAACCGACAGAGACACATGGACATGGACTATAGGCTAGTGGTTACTAGTGGGGTGCGGGAGGAGCGGGGAGGTAGACAGGGTATAGGAGGTCAAATATAGGGTTTAGGAGGAGGGTAAAGTGGATAAAGGAGATCAAATATATGGTAGCTGAAGGAAACACACGATAGAATATACAGATGTGAAATGATAATGTACACCTGAAAATTATATAATTGTATTAGCCAATGTTACCCCAGTAAACTTAATTAAAAAAAAAAAAAAAGAAGCTTGGTTTGTTTTTCCTCTTAAAAGTGAAGTGGCTGCTCATTGGTAGGACCAGGCAAAGTTTATACAATATGTTATTGTATATGTGTCAGTTTTTCTGCCAATAAAATGATAATTAGTATTATTATCATTCTTATTTTAGTTTCAAGAAACTTGATCTTATGTAATTTTAGTGTGATTTGTGACACTACTACCAGGACAGTACTTTTTATATACATATTTAACCTGACATTGATCTGCTTATTATTCAAAATATTTCAAATTTTCTTTCAGGACCAGTTTGGACAACATATAAAATCAGATGTGCACTTGAATTTCTATGTTTATTATGGTCCTGATCGTATTAGAGACCCAGCCTTGCTTTCAAAACAGGATATTGTTTTGACCACATACAATATTTTAACTCATGACTATGGAGTAAGTATGCTAATACTCAGAGATTTTAAAAAATTAAATTTAAGAAATATGTTTCAGGTTTCTAAAGTGTTCTAAAATTCAGGCTTTATTCTTTTTTCTTTCTAAATACTTAAAAATAAATAGCAAATTGTGTTTTAATGTTTTGTAAATAAAAGGTTGCACTTTTAGATAATAATGTAAGAACATTTTTCATTTAGAACACTTCAAAGTTAAAATTTTAAATTTGAATTGTAACTAAGTATATATAACCATTTGTAAATGAATTCTATTTTTTAAATATTCTAGAATATTGTTTTTTATCACAATGATTTTATTGTCCTAGTTCCAAAATAAACTTTTTTGTAGCTGAAATTTGTTTCCCAAGTCATTTAGAAGTGTAATTGTTGTTTGTCTATAATTTCATTTTTTAAGTTAAAATGTTTTTAAAATACCTTATTTTCAAAATTCTAGTGTTCTGATAAGAATGTTAACTTTTACCTAAAGAGAGTACTTATGTTATATTCATATAATTTTTACAATTGACAATTTTTATATCATTACTATGTTTCAGTCTGAGCCAGGTCACAGCAGATAACTAAATTACCTGGGTTTGAATGCTAGCTCTGCCACTTTCTAGCTGTGGTACTGTAAGCAACATATTTCACACCTGGTGCTTCAATCTTTCTCATCTGTAAAATAGGAGTAATAATACTTCATAAGCTTGTGAACATTTGATATTTAATGTATGTAGTTGCTTAAAGCAGTACCTACCAATAGTAAGTTGATTTGAGAGTAATAACTCATATTATTTATCAAATTACATAAAGTACAATTTTAATTTCCTGTGTTTTTAATTCACATGAAACATTTATTCAGACGAAAGGTGATAGTCCATTGCATAGCATAAGATGGCTAAGAGTGATCCTGGATGAAGGACATGCCATACGAAATCCAAATGCTCAGCAGACAAAAGCTGTTCTTGATTTAGAAGCAGAAAGAAGATGGGTATTAACAGGTAATGATAGCATTATACTTAAAAAAAAAATTAACTCCCAAATATGTATGATTAAGTATGTTAGTGAAGTAACTTTGTAAACGTCAAGTGGCTATAAAGTCTGCTTTAAAATTAATCATAGAAATCATTTAGTAAAATTTTTGATTTGTTCTTCATAATTTCCCATGAAATAACAACATTTGAATTATAGTTAATTTATGGGACAATCTTACTAGACTTATTTTTGAACATTGGAGATTCATTAGACATCTTAATTCTTCAATCAGAATCTTAAGTTTTCTGCTTCCCATCTTAGAGCCTGTTTGCTTTACTAGACGATAGGAAAGAGAACATAAACTCAAATCAGTTTTTCCCTTCTTGCTAGTGCTGCTGATTTACAAATCAAAAAAGCACGTGTTCTTGATAAGGAGAAAGTTGAATTTGCTGGATCTGTGGTCTTTTTCTTTGTTAGTAAGGCAAGTGAGAGCTGAAATTTAGGGCAAAACTATATTTAGAGGTTACACATGTTTAAGAAAGGATTATAATATCAGCTTGATAGTGAGTGTGCCTAGTACAGAGTGCCCATTTTCAACTGTTGTCTCCTTTGGTTGGGCCAAATGACTATCCTGATTGGATATGCTGGTTATAGAGTTGTAACAATTTTCTGTTATTTTTAGGTACTCCAATTCAGAATTCTTTAAAGGACTTGTGGTCTCTTCTTTCCTTTTTAAAACTTAAACCATTTATTGATAGAGAGTGGTGGCATAGAACAATACAGCGTCCTGTCACAATGGGAGATGAAGGAGGACTTAGGTAAGTAAATTCATGACAAATGATTATTATTATCTACAAATAACTGTTAGCAATTTGAACCACTTGCCACTTTCATTACTGTTTTAACTTGACTTTTGGCTTTCCTCTCCAGAAAGTGTTTACAGCTTCATGCCTTTGACTCTCAGAACCTAGTGATTCTTGTTTTGGGAGACAAAGATTTCTAACTACCAGTAAAACACAAACCCTTCCGTCCTATGATTTTTGTCAAACTGAAAGGAGAGACAGAACTTTGTGGTCTTTGTGTATTGCTATAACCCCTGAAACCACCATTAATAGATAAAGTAATGACAGGAAAAACATTGTATGCTCTGAGGGTCCAGTATGCACTAAATTTTTATAACGTATCTTGTATGTAGCTTTATATAGTGGTAATTGAATGATGGAATAATGTACAATGGCATCAAGCAGAGTTTTTTAAAAGAAAGTTGTTTCTGGTGGAGACAGATAAAAGTTGAGAAAAGTAAAATTCAACTTATTGATAGCCATTTTGCAAGGTACTAGGCAAATGTGGTTTAAGTTTTTTGTCTAGAATATTGGTTTTCAAATAGAAGTTTGGGGATTCATTAGTGGTTTGTGAAATTATTTAAAAAGATGGCAGCTAGCATTATAACGAAATAGTCAAAAATTTAATAGCAGAGAGCATCACACATAGTAAGTACTGTTTAATGAAATGTTTGTGTTATAAGTGTATGTGCTTATGTTTATGTTTGCTAAATGAAGTAAACTGTATTTCTTACTGTGAGTTCTAGTGAAAATTAAAAAGCCACTAACCTAGTTTGCAAAACTGTCTACTTGATTCCCTAGATCCAGCTATTTAAATTATAATTTAAGGAATTGTATTTATATTTCAGTGTTAGGCAAAAACTTTTTTTAAAAAAAGAATTTCTATATTTCCTTTTATTCCGATATTGAGAAGGTAGTGTAAAGGTGTAGAACCTGGAAGGCATTTCTCCCTCTACTGGATTGTCAAATGTTTTTATAGTTATGGCATTCATTACTTTATAAAAATTATTTATTTATGTACCTTGATTTTGGTAATAGTGAAAATACTTTTTGAAGGTAAGATCTTACTTATTTATATTTTATGATATTTAGTATAATACCTTGCACTTAATAAGCACGACAGGTGCTTATTAAGAATTTGAGTGTTGAATATGGGTGATGTATTTGAGGAATTGAGAAATAAAAAGGTTAGTGATTAGAACAAAAATGGGGAGAAAAGTTTAAAGATTCAACCATATGACAGATATTGAATTGAGGGCAAATGTCAAAGCATTTTGTTGCTATAATTTTCTGTTTGTAGATTATGTCTGTGATTATCAGATTGGGTAATACCCCGAATGAATGATTTTTAGTAAATCCTTTATTAAGGTTATAAAACAGTAGTAGTTTAAAATATTCTTTTTTGTTCTTATTGAATTAACTTATATAGAAATAAAAGGTTATGTAATTATTCGTTTTATTTTGGCTAGGCGTTTACAGTCCCTAATTAAAAATATTACACTTAGAAGAACAAAGACAAGCAAAATTAAAGGAAAACCTGTTTTGGAGTTACCAGAACGTAAAGTATTTATTCAGCACATTACACTTTCAGATGAAGAGAGAAAGATTTATCAGTCTGTGAAAAATGAAGGCAGAGATACTATTGGAAGGTATGGAGAAAGAAAGCCATTTTAGAAAATAATTTTTATTTTCTTTGTTTCCCATTTAACTGAATAGCATTTTTAAGATATGTTAGCAGTAAAGTCTGAAGTATACTGAGATATACTTCGTCTGTATACTATCATCTGCTTCTTCATATTTAAACTACTTCTTATAAATTAGTAGTTAAAGTGGATGAATTGATATTGTAATTTACCAGGTAAGTAATTTCTTAAGATAGGGAAAAATTAAAGTTGATCTGAAATGGCAAGTTCTGAATTACTAGTCAGAAGACCTTGCTTGCTTCTCTATTCCGGGCTCTGTGTCATGAGGGTAGATGAAACTTTGAGAGATGTATATATGTAGAGAAAGTAAACCTATTTAAGGACCAAAACTTTGGGAACTGCCCACATTCAAGAAATCAGAAAATAAAGAAAAACCACTTGTAGGAGATTCTATCAAGGAGAGGAGTATGAAGAAAAAGAAAACTGTTATAGAATCCTAGGAAAGAGCATAATCAAGAGAGAATAGTTAGTAGTGTCACATAGTGTAGACACTTTGAAAAGTTTATTTAATTTGGTGATTCAGAGGTTACTGGTGTAAACTATCGGAATAGTTTCACCAGAATGAGGTATATAGCCAAATTGTAGGACTAAGAGGATTACAAAGAACTAGCCGCTATAGGGGTACATCATTTTTCACAAAGTTTGTAAAAGGAGGAAGAGTGAGACTAGTCAATAGCATTGATAGTTGTTTGCTGGATCAATTATTTGATAGTTTTATTTAGGTAACTGCCTTAAGAGGAAGAGAACACGGAAGAGAGTACAGGTACAAAAGAAAATAAAGCAAATCGGTAGAGAAAAGTGAAGCCTAGGTGGGAGTATATAATATCAAGAGCATAATCAGTGAAATAAGAGACAAGGGTATGTATGAGACAAGGGTAGGAAGTTGAGGAAAGAAGACTGGATTTCAGTAGTCATACAAAGGTAGGATTTTTAAGAGTGGTTGAGAGACTTCATGTAGTATTGGATTATTGGATGTCTTTAGAGGTTAAGTCAGTCTGACTTTCCAACAACACGTGGAAATCTGGAAATAGAAGTTGATGAAGTATATTAAAGGGACTGGGAATTGGTAGAAGGTGAGAAATTCTATCCAAGCAAGAGCATGTTTGATGTGAATACAGGAACCAGAATGAATGTGAGACAAGTGAAGGCAGAACAGGGCTGAGAAAATAGGAGAATCTTCAAAATATAAGAACTTCAGTGAGTTACAAAGTAAGTTTATTAGGAATTACAGATATTGAGAAAGATTATTTTAAGAAAGAGGTTTCAAAGCAGAGATTTCAAAGCAAAGAGGCACAGAGCAGTTTGGTAACTTATACTGGTGTCACACAGCTAGTGAATGACAGAGCTGGTATCTAAACTCAGGCAATTTGGTTCTAGAGCTTGTAAATTTAATCTTTATATTGCCTATTCTCACATTCTTGAATATTTAGAAGTATTTGTTCCCATAATACTATTAGTTATAACAGATACATATTTACATCGCTTACCATGGTGTCGGTGGTATTCTAAATGCTCTGTATGTTTTAACTTTTTTAATACAACAGTCCTATGAGGTATTTATTATTACTATGCCACTGTGAGCATTCACATCAAGACAGAGTTTAAGAAACCTGTCCAAGGTTTCTTAGTTAAATTGGAAGAATCAGGTTTTGAACTCAGACAATCTAGCTCTATTAGAGTCTGTGCTCTAATAATTAGGCTAAATTTCTTCTATTGCCTGAATACTTAAATATCAGATTGGTTTAGTGTATAATTTTGGATCATCCATTCTTCCTTCAGAATCTGTATTGTCGTTGTTCTTCCGGACTTTATATCGAATGTTTCTGTGGGAAACTCTGACCTTTTTTGGAAAGTTTTCTTTAAATATTGTTTACTGTTCCATTTTATTTCTCTCTGTGTAAACAAAGATGTTCTTTGTTTTTCCATATATATTATTCAACTTCAGTTCTTTACATCTTTCTGTTTAATTTTGCTTTTCTCTATCCTGTTTCCCACATTCTTTCCTATGTTTTTATCAGTGGCTAGTCTCTTTTATTCTGGTTTCAGTGTGGCTTTTATCTCTGATGGTTCACTTTTCTCTTTTACGCTCTTGAGCTATGCTGGCTCATCTTTATTTTCTTTGCTGTTTTACCATACCTTTTTGAAGCTCTTTGTCTCTGATTTAACCTGTTGGATTTTCTTTTAGGAGGAGTTGTTTTATTGAGTGGTGTTAAGTTATGGCAATATTCGTGGTCCTGATTTTTATTTGCTCTTTGGCAACATTTTTCTGATGAGTTTTCTTTCACTGTCATTTGTTCTCCCTCTTGCTCTTTGCTGGTTATGACTTATATTTGAATATCTTTAGTTCTTTCTGGATTAGCAAGAGATTCATATGAAGGAGATGGGATCATACCTGTGCCCCAGGCTAGCAGGATGTATCCCTGTTTATGACTCAAGGTTACATGGAAGTTCTTTTAGGTTTCGCTTGTGCTCACATAACAGAGACCAGAAGCTTTAAGATTCCTTACAGTGTGGAATGCTATGCCATAGTCTTTTTTGAAAACACAGGTCTGTGTGTTGTTTTCTTATTCAGTTTGCCTTCCCTCCTTCTTGGTGTAAAACTTTTCCAGGGGAAGTTGACGCCATCAGTCGTACATGCTGTTTTTGTGCATGAGAGAAGCTGATTTTCCCCTTGGGGCATGCCATCTATTTTGAAGAATTGTGCTCTGGAAGGTCTGTTTGAGATCTGTAGTCATATCTCTTGGCATCTTCCTATCTTAGTTATACTGCAGTCAGCAGCCATTTCTTATAATTTTGCTTAATTTTTACAAATCTCTCCTGGTTTCATTAAAGATAACGTTTGCTCTTCTGTTCCTTATTCTTGTTTTGATGTGATTTCCAGAGAAGAGAACAATGCCATTTTTATTTGACTGTTAGAATATGAAATTTTGTTATGTTATTTAACATTTCATAATATTTTAACATTTTTACCTTAAGGTATTTTAATGAAGGGACTGTGCTTGCACACTATGCAGATGTCCTGGGTCTTTTGCTTAGATTGCGGCAGATTTGTTGTCATACTCAGCTCCTTACAAATGCAGTGTCTTCCAGTGGTCCCTCAGGTAGGTAAATATGATTGGTTTACACCATTATATTTGTTAGACATATTTAAATAAGAATGAGAAATTTTTCATATGGCTTAAATTTAGTTTGTTATTTGTCAGATAGACATTGTTTTTAGTATAGGACTCAACTGGGAATGTACCCAAGAGTTCTCTTACCAATGGAATGGGATATTAATGAGATCTTCCAGTATTTCCACTAATAGACACACTTTATCTATCTATCTATCTATCTATCTATCTATCTATCTATCTATCTATCTATCTATCATCTATCTATCTATAGTAGAAAAGTTTTATTAGAAGGGAAAGTACACTTCCAGAAGTGGAAGTGGGCCTGAGCAAGAGAAATGTGGCTCAAAAGGCCAGGATTTCAAATTTAAAACATGCATTTTGCCTATGATAGAAAAGGATTAAAGATTGCTCAAGCAAACTTTTTCCTGTATATAGAAGATTAACTTGTCTAGTCATATTACAAAATTTGCTCTGAAATTAATTTTTCAGCCTTTTCTCTAGGAAATGATACACCCGAAGAACTACGAAAGAAGTTAATAAAGAAGATGAAGTTAATTCTGAGCTCAGGTTCCGATGAAGAATGTGCAATTTGCTTGGATTCTTTAACAGTTCCTGTCATAACACATTGTGCACATGTCTTCTGTAAACCCTGTATTTGCCAAGTCATTCAGAATGAACAGGTTAGTTTTATGCTTAGTACAGATTCAGTGTTTGATGGAGTGGTGCAACCAGTCTTGAGTGTAATGAAAACTCAAGTTCAACAGCCTAGAAGGAGCTTTATGCTTGGATTAACTAATATATCTTTCATGGTTAATTATATCAGTATTTAATAAGTGATATATTTCTTATAATTAAACCTTTTTAATGTAAAAAGATACTGTATTTTTGGAGGCATGTTTCATTCAATATCCTAGTTCTACTGATTGTTTACATCATCACTGTCCAATAAATAAGTCAATAATGTGAGACCCAAAGGTACTTTTAAATTTTCTAGTAGAAACAAATGAAGTTAACTTTTTTATCCAGTATATCTAAAATATAGAAATAATTGATTAATTTATTTTTTCCCTGTGGACATGAGCTTTTTTTTTACACCAGCAGCCTCAGGTGTAAAAAAGGAACAGGGCCTCAGCCAGTGAAGTGCCCCTGGTAGATTGGCAAGGGTCAGGGGCATGGGAAATGGCCCATGCTGCAAGATCATGATGGGGACCTCATGAGTTGAGGCATCTACCTCAGGCTGTGGAGGTGTCTCTATGTTGCCTCCAGTGGAGGTCTGAAATAAATACCATGAAGGTGTGGGGTTGGGGGAAGACAAATGCTGGGAGCTACAAAAAGGAATCAGACCACAGCTGTGTAGGGTCCTGGCAGGAAGGCAGGTCTAAGTATGAGGCTTCAGTGAGTTTTACAGTGAGGCAAAACACCCCCCTCCCCCAGCTGTGGAGTGAGATGGTCCTCCAGGTGGGGTTCCAGGAGACCAGGGGTTCTTGATGAGGCCTAGAGGGCCAGGAATATCCAACTACATCTGCTCGAGATCCAAACATTCAGGCACCCCTGGGGCAAAAGTGGGAGTTGGGATAGGGACTGTAATAATTTGGGGTCATTGGCCTGAGTCACCCAAGGGGAGGCCAGGGCTTTGCATTTTGGAGAAGACAGCTTGTTTCATTTAGAAGTTGCTGACAAGGGGATGGATGCTATATCCTCGATTTGGCCAGGGTCATGTCCTCCTCAGAAACAGCCCTTTGGCCATGAGTTCTTCCCAGAAACATCCCTTCTCCTGGGAACAGAGTGTCCAGCTAAGGGAGCTGCTCTGGCCTGCCCAGGTGGGACACTTAGTCCTGGAGGGTGGAGGGTGGGGTCCTGGAGTTTCAACTGCAGCTAGGGAGTTGAGGGCAGGATGAAGGGCTTCCAGCCACCCCCCCACAAAGGCCTTCTCTCTTGTAGAGGTGGGGGCTGGGCTCCTAGGAAGCCTGTCATCCATTGGGGCAGGTCAGATTTCTACGGTTGTGTTTATACGGTTCATTTGGTGTTAGGGGTCACCTGGGGTAGGGTCCATGAGCCCACCAAGCAGTCAAGGGAGTTTTGCTGTCAGTGGCCTCCATCCCACAGAGCAGACAGGGACAGGGCATAGCCAAGTCATGTCCTGCTAAGAGCATTAGGAAGAGAAGCCAGTATGACTATCTTCTACCTCCCCCTCCAAGTCCATGGCCTCATGGTGGGCTGCCAGGTGCAAGAGTCTGTGGGGGCCTGGTCACAGCTGTAGTTGTAAGCAGAGGCTGACGTTGGTTGCTCTAGGATGCAGCGGCCAGGGATGCCCAGATTCCAGCCTTTTGTGCCCATGGCACTTACTGACCATGCCATTGGGGCTGCATACTTGGGTCTTAACAGGCACCACAGTCACAGGAGCTACTGCAGTGTATGTTTGTTGCCCCCTCCTCCAGGGCAGTATAAAAATTATTAATGAGATACTTTACATGATTTTTTAAACTTAAATGTTCAAAATCCAGTGTTATTGTACTCTTATAGCACATCTCAATTTGACTTTGCCACTTTTCAAGGACTTAATTGCTGCATGTGGTTTTTGGCTATTGATTAAGATAGGTCTTATGTTTGATAGAATTTTTTGAAGTAGAATAATCTTTTAAGCATTTCTTCAACTGAGGTAAAATTTTTAAAAACATTTTTGATATGTGATATACATATAATAAAAAATGCACAAGTCATGATTGTATAGCTCAGTGAATTAAGAATTAAACACATCCATGTAACTAACTACCTAGACTTTGTTGTGTCCTCTCCTAGTCATTTATGCTCTCCCTCCTCTTTAAAGGTAATCTCACTATACTGACTTCTAACATTGTTTCAGTTGCAGAATCTTTTTTATTATAATGGTATTTGATATATAGTTATTTAAGAAATAATCTTATTATCATGTCTTAGTACAAATGGACACAACAGATACTGCTTTGAATGAACCTGATAGGATTTAACAAATCTTGACTGGTTTACAGGCCATCAAGAAAGAAATTTTTTTCCTTCTAAATAGTTCCAACTAGTTTGCTATACTGTAGTTAGGTTCGAGAAACTGTTATTCACAGTTTTATTACTTGTCTGCAAATAGTATAATATTTATGTCAAGCTCTTGTTGCTGGTCAAGATCATGCACTTTTGCTCTTTTTTACCCATCCCACTTAACCACATTAGAACATTATATCTATCTGGAGTTCAGCATGTACAGTTTTCTCTCAAATGGATGAATCTAATAGAAGTTTAATAAAATACTAGCTATTAGAGATAGAGAATTTACAATACTTTTTAAAAATTTTAGGCAAATTTTTATTTCAGTTCCTTTGATAAGTATCATTCATACTTTGTTCTTTCTTATATAGCCACATGCTAAATGCCCTTTATGCAGAAATGATATACATGGTGATAATTTATTAGAATGTCCTCCAGAAGAATTGGCTTGTGACACTGAGAAAAAGTCTAACATGGAATGGACATCCAGTTCAAAGGTAAAATACACATGCATAAATATTTGAGTATTTGTTTTGTGTTTATATAAAGAAATACTATATATAAAAATAATAATTATGCTTTTAATGTTGTCATTTGAATATTATACTCTGTTGATGGTTATTGGCTTTTTTTAAATTTTTGGTGATAGATTTCAGAGAAAAGAAAGGTTTCAGATTATGATAGTATTCATTCAGTCTTAATTTTAAAAAGTTAGTGGTCTTTTGCATTTTAGGGAAATAACATGGCAGCACCTTTCTCTTCATAATAAAAAAAATTTGGATGCATTTTGCCAATTCAAAATGGAATCTAATGGGTGTCCTAATTTTTTTCAGATTAATGCCTTAATGCATGCATTGATTGACTTAAGAAAGAAGAACCCCAACATAAAAAGTTTAGTTGTTTCTCAGTTTACGACGTTTCTGTCTTTAATAGAAACACCACTAAGGTAAGTTCAACAGTGTTTCTCACTTTGAGTAAAAGGATTTTTACGTAAGTGTTTTGATTTGGATAGCAAAAAAATATTTTTGTTTTACCAGTTTTATTTATTTCACTATCTAAAATAACATTTAAAGTCGCAACAAAGAATATTTCCTGGGATCAAGGGTTTTTAAAGATTAAGTTCTGAATTGGAAAAAAATTGACTGTAGAGTCTGACATATTGGTAGATGGTTTATAAATATTTGTCAAAATAAATGAGTAAAGAATTGGTTGAATGAAGACATTGTAAGTACTTAACGTGTTTTGTTGATAGTATAAGAAGTGTTACTTGTCTTGTTTGTCCCTTCCATTAGAGCTTCCGGATTTGTGTTTACTCGTTTGGATGGTTCAATGGCCCAAAAGAAAAGAGTTGAATCCATTCAGTGTTTTCAAAACACTGAAGCCGGATCTCCAACTATAATGCTTCTATCCTTAAAAGCAGGTGGAGTTGGTTTGAATCTCTCTGCAGCTTCTCGGGTGTTTTTAATGGATCCAGTAAGTAGTTTGTAGATTTTGTGGTATATTATTATTTTTTCTAAAAAAATAAAGAATAAAAACTATTTGGTAAATACCTTCATAGTTATAATTGATTGTGAAAATGCCTCAGACAAACTTTGGAAATAGATAACTTATTAAATGTCTATCAAAGGCTTTCTCAAATGTATATCAAATGGAAATCTCACACCACCTTTATGAGGTAGATCTTGTTATTCCTATTTAGATGAGGAAACTGAAGCTTAGAGAAGTAAAATAACTTGTCCAGCATCACACAGCTATAATATGCAAAGTAGGATCAGAGTCTTTGTCCTTAAGTACTATGGTTTTCTACTTCTCTATTTAGAGAATACATTTCTATTAACTGTATGCTTTAAGGGTAGTGGTTTCATTCATTTGTCCAACATACAATGAGATCCTGCTTTGTGTCAGGAACTCTTAAAGGCATTCCGAATCTGGCTATAAACCAGATCAACGAAGTAGCTACCAGCATTGTCCTGATGGTCTCAAACTTTAATGTGCAAAGGTATTGGTAAAATGTAATTTCTGACCTCTTTCCTCAGAGATTTAGTAATTATTGAATGAAACCCAAGAAGCTGCATTTTTATAGGTGATTCAGGTGCAAGTGGTCCAGCATCACAATTTTAGAAACAATATCATTACTGGAATGATTGCGGTAAATTTTTGTGTCTAATACATACAGTGCAACCACTTGTGGTCGTACAATACAGGCCTAGGGGTAGATTGGGAGCTAAAATTTACTCCGAACTTTACTCACCTAAGTGGGTGACCTAGAGCTGCATCCACACAAGAACACCTTTTCGTAATTGCACAAAGGGGCTGGTTTGGGCTGGAGGCACTAACTCAATTTGAATTTGCACTGGGTACTGCTTGGGCTAGAGGCAACCCTGTGCTTTTTGTGTGCATTCGCAGATTTAAAATTTGTTTTAGCTTGTTACCTAAAACTCAGAAAATTTATAACAAAGAAATTTTATTGAGATACAAATTTGAGTTATTCTGGTTGGGCTATGCAGTTGATGCATGTACCTGTTTCTGGCTTTTTCCTCACCTGAGGGTAACTTTCCAAGTAAGATTACAACCAGAGCCATATTTAGGTATTCACATTAATATCATCGGTGACAGTGGTCTGTTGTATTTTCTTGCTTTAGTTCTGTGGATGTATTTTTAAATCTTTGTTAGAGTTGTAGTATTTTATGGTTATTATAAAAATATTCATTGTAACTACAGATTAACTTACATAGTAACCCAATGAAAATCATAGAAGCTGATTTTTGGAACAAATTCTCAAATTATTTTTTCTTTTGGCTATAATCTCAGTACTTAATAAGAAAGGGGCTGTTCATACCAAATAGAGTAATTTAATAATATTATTAAGTTGATTAGAAACTAAACTTTTTAGCAGTTATAGTTTAAAAAAAAAAACTTGTAGAGTGTTTTAACAGTTTCGTAGTAAGTTGTTTGAGCATTTTAAACTTTCAGATATTGTTTCTAACTTTAAAACAAAAGCCATGTCCCAGAAAAATAAGATTCAATCGAAAAATTTGAGCATGAAAATCTTTTACCTTATTGTGTAAGAGTTAAGATTCATTTTGATGTTCCATTAGGAGCTTTTGATAAAGCTAATTGCTTCCTGCATCACTCATGTGGGAATGGGAGCTATCAGTTTTATAATGAGATAAATTTGATTCTTGGTAATCATACTATATGTATTATTGCCAGCTTAACATAAGGTTCCTAGACAAAATATAGGCAACAGAAAGGAACATTTTACCTGAGCTCTTGGTATAATGGTTTCAAAATGTGTCCAATTATGAAATACAAAATATTCACAAAGTATTATTATCTGTCAGTTTTAGAAAATCATAAGCTGAGTATGTCCTTAAATCTAATTCCTATATCAAAAACAACCCAAAACTCAAATTACAGCAAGTTAATAGTAAATTCTCCTTTTTCCCTGATCCCAAGGGAATTTGAAAAAGAAAGACAGAAACAGCCTAAGAAGTATAAATCATACTATAAAGTTATCTACCTATGGATTTATAATTTTGTTTCTATTTTCAGGTGGTACTTTGTCATATAAATGTTCCTTGCCCCAGAAATACCCTGTTTTGAGCTTCAAGAATTATAGTTTAAAATTTAACAGAGAACATTTTTTCATAAATGGACCCAATTACATATCTTTTCTGATACAAATAAGTTGTGTAAGAAGATATGTAAACTTTGTTTTCTCTGTTAAGCAGACATAGATCAACTTTAAAATGGAAAAAAAAAAGCAGAAAGGTATTATTTTATTGATTAACAATCATCTATATTGTGTGCTTTCTATGTCTCAGGCCCTGTATTAGATACTAAAAGCAGTGGAGTGAAATGACAGGGGAGAGCACCTGCCTAGCATAGCAGTTATTTGGAATATGGGGGAAGTGTGGGTTTTTTTTTTCTCCCAGAGCATTTATAATGTCAGTACTTGAATTCTGTTAGAAAAATTTCAGTCAGTAAAAGATAAAGAATACTGAAATGGAAGAACTTGGGCAGATCACGGTGGTGATAAAGCAACTCATGTTCCATTGTTAGGCCTGGAATCCAGCTGCTGAAGATCAGTGCTTTGACAGATGCCATAGACTTGGCCAGAAGCAGGAAGTTATCATCACAAAAGTGAGTTTTAAGCCATATATTTTTAAAATTAGGTCGATAAGAGTTTTTAAGTTATACAAATAATGCATGAATATATTATTGTAAAAGAAAAAAATAAAATTATGCAAAGCAAAATATGATCACTTCTGCTCTTTAGAGAAAACTGCCATCAGTAGTTTAATATATGCTATTCAACGTCCCTTTCTTGATGTTTACATACATTCATGCTTATGTGTAGATCTCTTTTTAAAAATTTCATTTACGATAACTGGGATCATACTTTATTATTCTGCAACACGTTTTTTTTTTTTCCTTCCTTAACAGGATGTATTGGAAGCTTCCACATAAGTGTATCTAGATCTTCTTTTTTTTTTTCCTATTGTGGTAAAATAGACATGCCATAATAATTAAAATATTTAAAAATATTTTTAAGTGTACAGTTCAGTGTTAGTAAGTACATTCACATTGTCGTGTAGTCATGACCACCATCCACCTCCAGAACTTTTCATCTCGCAGTGAAACTCTGTGTCCATTAAATAGTAATAACTCACCATTTCTTCTTCCCCCCAGCCCCTGGCAACCGCCCTTCTACTTTCTGTCTCTATAATTTGACTACTGTATAAATGCATTCTTTTTAACACCTGCATATAGATATATCGTAATTTAACCAGTCTAATTTATTTGCTAATAAAAAAGTGCCATATGAGCATTATATTACATGCATCTTTCTGCATATATATAAGTATTTCTTAAAGATAGGTTAAGAAAACTAGAATTCTAATTTATGATTTTTATTAGCTGTCAAGTTGTTTTCAAAATAGGCTTTATGATGTAAATTTATGCTTATTGTGATGGTCAAAAAAGTGCTCTTCTAATTTGCATTTACCTAAGACCTTGAGTATATTTCACATATCTGTTGTATTTTTTTCTGTGAATTGCTTGTTTACATCTTTCGCCTAGCTTCTTCAGAAAGTGCTAATACAATATTATAGTATAAAGTATTCCTTTTATACATTCTAATTTTAAATGTTTTATTATGTATATTGGAAATGGTTTATTCCAGGCTGTTCCTTACCTTTGAACTTTATGTGCTTTTTATCATGAGAGGGTTTTAAAATTTTTATTGTTTGAAACATGCCAGCCTTTTTCTTTATATCTTTTGGATTTTAAGGTCTTGCTTAGAACCGAAGTCTTTATCTTCAGATTTTAAAAAATGTCCTATATTTATTCTGATTCTTTAGAAATATTTTGTCTTTTGTTTGTGATTCATGATACGGTTCTAATTTTATTTTTTTCAAATAAACCATTTGCTCATCACAAATTTTTTGATTTTGAAAAGTCCATCCTTTTTTCCTTCTGATTTGAAATGTCACTTTTTTCATAAACTAATTCATATATATTACATGGGACTCTTATAGACTCTATTCTGTTCCCTTGATATCTTTTCTTATTCCTAGGGCAATATTACTGGTATAACTGCTATGGTTTTATAAAGTATGCTTGGGTATCTAGTAGAGCAAAGTGCTCTCATTACATTTCTTTTTGAAAATTGTATTACTTATTACTATTTATTCTTGAATTGAACTGTTTGATATAGTTTACCAAATCTCATTTAAGAATCGTGTTTGGGAGACCATGCCAACTGGGAAAGAACTCTACACATTTGAATATAGCTGATGTTGAATAAAGGTTTACTGACTTAAAAAAAGAATCTTATTTGGGATTTATTGAATTTAAGATTAATTTGAGCACTGTCTTCTTTATAAAAGAGTATACCCATTCAGGGACATAGATAGTATCTATTTAGTCTTTTATGTATTTCAGTAACATTTTATAACACAGCTTTAGTTATTACAGTAACAGTAGCTTCTTATACAATATTGAATAGTAGTAGTGATAGTAATTATTCTTGACCTGTTTCTCTGTTGGGAATCCTTTTATTGTTTTACATTAAGTACGTTGTTCTTGATGTTTCTTGAAGATGCCTTTAATAAGGCTGAGAATGTTTATGTCTAGATTAATGAAGATTTTATCAGGAATAAATGTTGAATTTTATCAAAGGCTTCCTAAGCATCTGTTGAGATAATCGCTTTTCTTCTCTAATTTTTTAATGTTATGAATTATACCAGATAAAAGCTCATTCTTGCATTTCTAAGAAAATCTCATTTGGCTTTATAAATATAGTGCTAAATTTATTTTGTAAATATTCCAGTTACGGAGTTGCCTATAGTTTGCTTTTCTGTGTACTGCTCATATCTGATGATGGGGTTTTAAAGGTGTAATTTGTGTGTTTATGGCCATATATATGCTTTATAGAGAAAACCATATTGAGTGCTAATGAGAAGCAATGTTCATCTCTAGTTATTATATCATGTTATAAATATTCTCACTAAATATTCAGGAAAAAGGAGCTAAAATGTTTTCTAATATATTATTGACCATTTTTGAAAGCTATATAATACTGTAAGAAAGCAGATTCCTTTATAGTAAACCAACATTTTCATTCTCAAATTTTCATTTTTTTACATTAAAGATTTCAAATATTGTGACCTGAAAAGTACTTAACCAATTTAACTTTTTTTTTTTTTTCTTTTTAAAGTTTATTGTGAAGGACTCTGTTGAAGAAAATATGCTGAAAATACAAAACACAAAGAGAGAACTTGCAGCTGGAGCCTTTGGAACTAAAAAAACAAACGCTAACGAAATGAAACAAGCTAAAATTAATGAAATTAGAACTTTAATTGATTTATAATTTGTGAGATTTTGGTAAGGTCAATTTGATCAGACATACAGAAGTTTGGGAAATAAGAAAAATACAGTTTTAGAAATGAGATCTAATATGTCTTCTAAAAGGGGCATATTTTATATCAGTAAAGAGGTATTACTGATACATAATTTCTGCTATATATAAACCTATTTTTAATACTTCAAATAGCAATAAGTTCTCTTATATACTGTGGCCTAAAATAATTTTTTGAGGAAAAAAATACTTTGTTATTCAACTTTTCATAGTATCTCTGTTGAGTATTTTCATATATCTTCCACATACTCAGCTTTTTCATATTTCAAGTAACGTCAAACCTTTTATACTTTTGACCAAATAGTTATTTTCTATGTTGGACACATTTGCTTTTTCACCAAAGCTTCCCATTTGTGATGCAGTGGATTCAACAGTCCTTAAAAAAGATTAGTACATACACAGACCATATAAGAGATTGATTTTTTTTTTTTTTTATGCCTACAGCACCCGGTCTTCCTAGGTGGTCTCCCATCCAAGTACTAACCAAGAGATTGATTTTTTATTGGACTTTCGAAAACCATATTTGCATTTCAGAACCAAACCTTAAAATGTGAAACCAAAGTCCAGATTAGTAAGTTTTTTTTTTTTACAGTTTTATTGAAATATAATTCACATAAGTAACTTGCAATTTTATGTTCATGAAAAATATTAGGGACTGTGTTAGACCACTATTATCTCCATTTTAGTCAGGTGGTACTGTTCATTGTTTAAATGTAACTTGGTATGTTAGTGTGTAAATACAGTCTGTGGGGGTAAGAGGGAACAAATTCTACCCAATTTGATTTGAATATTTAAATTATGGAATTGCTGAATAGATATTTCTATATATAGATAATTTTTATTTATGTAGGTTTTTTTTGAAATAACTTTATAAAGTTTTATAATTCAGAAGACTACTATTTGTGAGAGGCGTGATATCTGGATGACCCCCAAAATCATTTTAACTCTTAAAGACATGTTAATTATGAATGGAAAAATTTCTTTGCTATTATATTTAGAATCAGAATTTGATTTTGGTCCTTCAGTAGTTCATCCTTACATCTTTCTGTAGAATTAATCATCCTTTTGTTACTTTTTTGTTAATAATCAAACTCACAGTAGTTGCTACAGAATTCTTGATGATTGAGTCACATTTAAAACAAATAAGCTATAATTTAGCAGTTAGGTTAAGAAGTTGGTGGTATTTTTTTCCTTAAGGGATTTTTTTTTTTAATCCAAAGAAGAGATTACTTACTATAACAGGAGAAGCTTGATACCTAATGATAGAGACTTAAGAACACCTTATATTTTACTTACTAGTGTTAGAAGTGACTTGACTGAAAGATAGGCGATTGGAGGCAATGTTGTGTTCTAGGGCACACATCTAAAGTATGTGTTAAATCTGTCAACAGCTAAGTCCTCCCCTCCTTGTGCCCTGTCTCTTGCTCCAAGGAAACATTAGGAAGAATCTTTTGCCCAGTCCCTTTTCTTTTAGCAGCAGGTGAGGCAGAGGGCTGATGAAAAGGACCAATAGGACTTTCTGCAGGGATGAGCGTGAAATAATTTGGAGTTGGTTCAATAGCATTAGGAGCAATAGGGAAGTTCTTTACCTTGTAGGACTAACATGCAAAAAATCGGGTTGATCAGCATCTCATGAAATACAATATGTAGGTTCTCTATATAGCAGTATTCCAGAGAGGTTAAGTACAAAGTTTTCAACAAAAAATACCACCATCTATTTGCTTACAAAAGTGAAGACTTTGCTTGCTTCTTTACCCAAATATTTACAGACTTGTGTTTTAAAACATATTTATGATGATAAATTGGGCAAGTGGCTAAAAATATACCTGTTTTTGAACAGTTCTATTATGGTGTTAAAAAAACAAATTTAATTCATCCTAAGAAAATATATAAACCACTGGAATGAAAAATTCACATTATACTATGCTGTAAATTCTGTTTCATTATTATGTAGAATGATAGCTTTAGAAATATCTCAGACATTGTATTCCACTTGTTCAAACTGGATTTTGTTTTACATTTAAAATCAATAAAAATTTCAAATATTTATTAGCTTTCTCAGTGCCATTTTAATGACTTTTTCTTTAGACAGTTTAATCTTTCATTAATATCACACACCTATGAAGATGTCTATCTTACATATGTATATTACATGTCTGTATTACATAATTATTTGATTTTTACTGACAGTACATAAAATACTATGAGTAACAATAATTTACTTATATTCTTTTTTTATTTTGCTCAATTTAACTGGTTGAATTTCTTACTTAGAAATCAGTGTATATAATTTTAAAGTTTATGTTAAATGTCTTGATTTAAAACATTGGTTTCAATTTTTTTTCTCCTCTGCCAGAAAAGGAGTTGTGCTAACTTACGTATAGTGGTATTTCTATATAGCACACACTCTGCACTGTAGATTTAGCCTTAATTATATCTCTAGGATTAGAAATAGTTAATCAAGAAAATAATGTTTATTATCAGTGAGTACAGATGAAATTATCCTCAGTGTATTTTTTTTCTTTTTATTGGGGGATGTCAAAGGCATTGGTGTATTTTTTCTTCATTTTAATTTATAGTACTTGCCAAAGTTCTATTCACTAGGATTTGGAAGATTCATTAAAAACCTGAGGACAGATTTTATGTTGGGCTTATTAACAAGAACTCAAATGTTTAACCTTAAGTTTTTAACTATATTAACTTTATAATATTTGCAAAACATGTAATACAACATCTTTCTCTCATTTAATTCATTGGCAAGTCTATAGTAACCTTCCTTACAAGTTCTATATTCTGGAATTTGGTACCTCATTGTGTGGTACCTTCTGAATAAAAACAGCCAAAAATACTAGTAGTTGTGAATGATTGGGATGCTTCCCTGCTTTAATGCCTACTTCAAAGGGAAAACTCTGTTGATTAGAAACACTACGATAAGCAGATACAGTGTTTTCTTTCATGTTAATATGTTTATGTTGTGTGAAGTAAGGGAAAGTGGTCTTCTATATAAAGCCATAATATTTTACTTTTTAAAAGGTAAATTATTTCCAATCAGATCTTTTACTGGTTAAAATCGATTATTTTCTCTGTTCTGCTCCCTTCTCAACCTTCCTGTTCAAGAATGTGTTGACAAATTTAAACCCATTTCTACTGTTAAATATGTAAATTGATTTCTACATGAAAATACAATTTTAATAACATAGTTTAATGTATGTGGCACAGGCCACCTCCATTAATCTGAACCAGATATTCAAAACTTTATAATAATTAGGCTATATTGGGACTTCTACATTTATAAGGGAGCAGATGTCAAAATGATTTCTTAGCCTGGTGGATAAAACAAATTCTAGGGCATGTCTTTGCATATTTGAAACCCAGTCTAGACTACTCCAAGAGGGTATTTAATGTGATCAGAAGTGATGCTAAGAGTCATCAAAGATGTTATATGTTGTTAAATATGTGCTTGTTTACTAAAGCAGAGATATGGCATAATGTTTAGGGAAGTTTTAATTAAGTTTGCCATCTTTTCAGCATTCTAGTTTATTAAAATTAAGGCAGATGAAATTAACAAGGATACAGCTTCCCAAATACTTTAACTAATTTATACTTTTTGTTCAGGGGAGGGAAGGGCTATTCCCTAATAATACTTGGAGGTTTTTAAAAAGATTGCACTAGTATCAATATGTTGATAAAAAAGGTAAATAGTTCAGGAGAAATGGTCTAGTGAATGGTCTAGTGCTGCTTGTGGATACAGGTATAAATTAAGTGAATTAAGATAAACATTCACTTTATATATGAATCATAGACCTTGATCAAGCTAATCAAAGGATCTGACTTTTGTGTAGGCAAATTTGTCTTATAGCAAAATATATCCACCATTGTTCATAAGAGGATAAAGAAATTTATATATTTATCACCTCCACAAAGTATGTTCTTGTAATCTGAGTTACTGTTTTTTTTACACATTTTACTAAGTAACCCTTTGTATTTTAGACTCTCTGGAAAAGATTTTGCAGTAAAATTGTACAGTTTTGCATGTAAGAGTTACTACTTCACCTTAATTAAAGCATATCCTTAGAAGATGAGGGAAGGAAATCTGTTAGCCCAGTTCAGTGCCTTTCCAGCCTCATAACTCTATAGTTTTATGCGCATTTTCTATTTTCTGTGGTAAACTTTCATCCTTTCTGGTTCTAAGTTAATAGCTTTCACTGAATACTTATTTAAAATAAGAAATTACATAAGCTTTTTCACTTGTTTTATTTCATATGCTGTGTAAAAGGGAACAAAATGTAGTAAGTAAACACAAAAATTAGTACCGAGTGATGTTTGAGTCTCTGCTCCCCACTTTGATGCTTTTTTTCAATTGTAAAAAAAAAAAAAGCTTTGACTCTTGTGAGCTTTTCTGATAAAGACAGAGAGTTCCAAAATACACTTAATTATTTGGATCGCATATTGCGTGGTCATAACAATAAGGCAATATTCATTATCTGAAGACTAGGTTTCCGTTCATCTTAACTAGGGACCCAGAAGTCAAAAAATTCCTCTGACCAGCTAAGACGACTGCAGTAAACCTCTATACTGGACTTGGTAGAAAAGTTCTAGCATTCAGAGGCCTTATTACTTGAACATTTGACTCCTCCTATTTTTGTTATATATAAACAGTAGTGAGAAGTGGTAACTGTAAGACTGGACATTGAGAAATAAACCTCAAAAACGTAACAGTGAACACAATAAGTATCAAAAGAGTTCAGCCACTTAGTATAGGTGTTAAGGAGACCTTACCCTTATAGGGATATGTTGACCCTGAGCACATCACAGTATCACAGCATATTCATAGTAGAAGTTTTGCTTCTTTTGGTACAATAAAACAACTGCAAACAGGATAATTCTACATAAGCTTGTAAGATACAAAGGCTATTCAGTAAGTCCTCACTCAACGTTGTTGATAGGTTCTGTGACTAAGCAAATGATGTATAGTGAAACCAATATAACTACAGACTGATATAAACAAGTTAGGTTCCTACAGCATCTCATCAGTGTTATAATGAAACGATTTGCTCTATGTTGTGAAGCTGAATTGTGTCCAAGTCAAAACTCACAACTTAATTTCTATCCATGGAATTTCTTATCCGTTTATTTTTATATTACAATATTTCAGACAGCCTATTTAAGAAAACCTTTGTAAAATGGTTTGTACTATTTCATAATACTATTTTGTACTGTTTCCCAAGTCCTATTTCAAGGCCACTGCTCTTATCTACATAACAAGCAAAATGAAAGCCTTTCCGTTATTGTGTTACTCCCCAGATTTCTGACATTTGTATTTCTGGTTATATACAGAGGTTTCTCTGATCTCTGCCTGTTTCTCTGCTCTCATTGTTTGGACTGTAGATTTGTTTAATGCAGAGCTTCAATAGCTTTGGAATTGGAGCATACAAAAATCTGAATCAAACTCTTTTGCAGGTTATCTCTTTCTTATTCTCTGATTATCTGCAAAATGAGGATACTATGTATATATCATAGGACTGATAGAACTGAGATGTAAATACTGAATGTCTTTCCTCTTTTTGCTTTCTTAGATTGTTTTTACTTAAATGAGATTGAATTTCAGCATCTGAAACCCAGAGAAATCAGTTATCAGGTAACATACCCAAGTATAAAAGTAAACTATAATCCATTTTTGTATTTGATAAGCAGAGACAAAAAGCAAATCATGTCAGACTAAGGAGAAAGCAAGTCTTACTTAGTTTAATGCCCCAAGTTTCAGTGACATTAAAAAGGTAAACAATTATATTTATAGATGTTATTTATGGTAATTTTTCCTCTCTCATTCAAGGAGCTCTTTTGTAAAAAGCCTTCACTAATTAGAAGTTGGAGTCCCTGCTGTGCAACAACCACCTCAGCTCTTTAGTCTTCTGCTAAAAAGTTGACTCCCTATTCTATTTAGTGTAAATGCTTCCTTAATGTATCAAGTGGTTCTCAAATGTCATTTGGGTCAGAGTCATGTGGAGTGCTTGATAGTTGGAGTGGAGATACTGTGGCCTCAACCAAGACCTATTGAAATCTGAACCTGTAGTGATAAGGCCCAAGAAACCGTACTTAAAATTAAATCTGTTTTCAGGAGCAGCCAGGTGGAGACTCAAACTTAACAAGCCCCTAATCTTCAATTACTCCTTTTCCCTCACTCTTCACATCCAATCTGTCAGCAACTTCACTGCCTTCACCCTGGTGAAAGGTAGGTTGTATTACCATTGTCTTTTCAGGAACACTACAATAAACTGGCCTTCTCATCAACACTTTTGTCTTCATTCAAACTATTTTACACCAGCTGCAAAGTAGTGTTCTTAAAAATAAATCACAGAGGTAAGACAGTTAGACCATCTTTTAAAATAACTGCAATGGATTGAAGCAAAAACTAGATTAAAATTTATTAATTCATCGTGGTACTATAACAACCCTCCCTCAAAACCACGTTCGCTACCTTTGGAGGATGCTAGGAAATCAATTCCTTATTTTGTATACTTGTGAATGAAGGGAAAGAATCAAGCATTATTCCTGCCTTCTTTATAGAAATGTAACTCAAGACAACCAAATTACTGATGAATGGAAATATATAGAAATATTTCAGCTACTAAATGGGAATACCACCATTCTGAAATCCCTATGAAATAATGTACCTAGGCAGTGATCATCAACAGCAGTTAATATAAGAAGGTAACCAGAGATTTAGAAGTGGCCAACACCACTATAAAGTATTGCTTCAGATATACACCTTAATAGAATACAGGGAAATAGAATACGTGTCAAATTGCAATCAGCAAAATGCAGAACGTGGGAGGCTACAGCACAAATAATCTAGTTTCAAATTGCAATCAGCAAAATGCAGAATGTGGGAGGCTACAGGACAAATAATCTAGTTTCTTCAATAAATAAATTGCAAGGAAACAATGAACGAATGGGTAGGGTAAGGAAACAGAAGATACATCTACCACAGATGTATCCTTCAATTGCAATATATGGACTTTACTTGCATCCTGATAAGAACAAAGTGGAAATAAAATAACGGAGGGCATTTGGAATTAATAGTTTTATGGTATGATAATTTTCTGAAGTCCTTATGTTTTAAAGATATATATGGAAATATTAAATAAAAAATTCTTTATATGGGATTTGCTTCCAAAAAGTTTGGTGGGGGGAGCTGGTAGAGATATAGATGAAACATAATTGTTGAAACTGCTTGATGGGGTTTCTTTATACTCTTCTGCTTACTTTTGTGTGCAACTATAATTCCCCATTAACAAAAAGTTAGATATAAATTACATGAATAAAACTTCAGTCAATTGCTATTGAATTCAGAATCCAAAGCCTATACCTTCGCCTATGAAGCCACTGCTTCCCACTCCATCCTGTCTTGGAATCCTTTTCTTCCACTAGGCCTTTGTTCACATAGTTCCCTTTGAAGGGAATATTCTTCTTTCCCCTTTGGCTGTCTCATAGCCTCTCTTTCTGGCTTAATCAGCATCTTGTAGGTCTTTCCTGACCACCCTGAGGCTGGATTTTGCGGGTTAATTGCTGTCAGTGTATTTTAGCATAAATTGTAATTACACTTGTTTCTTCCTTGGTCTGTGTTTCCTACTAGAATATAAGGAATTATGTTTGTCTTGTGTGGTCCTGTATTTCTAATGCCTGTCATATGTGATATAGTAGTGACTTAATAAATGCTTGTTGAATGAATTATTGTGTTGTCTGTCTTAAATGTGTATGTCAACTCAAACTGTGTTTGATGTAAAACTAAGATGACTAAATAAATACTTTGGTAGATGTTATTTTTGGAATAAGCTCAGGTAGTTCCTTGAAACCAGATACATATCTTTATGACCATTGGGATTGTGAAAGCAACATAGGGCTGAAATGAATTTTGAAATTATACAGATTGTCCAAAATTAAGGCTCATTTGTATGACTTGTAAATTACACGGTAATGAAATTAATTTCCATTTAGCCTTATTTCTCTATGCATTGGGTTCTCATAGGAAGAGCTCAGCTCATCTCCCCCCAACCTAATGCATCTTAAAGATCTTTGTACCTAGCCTATGACACATGGAGGCACTTAAATCTTTGTATGGTAGTGCTTCATGTACTTGAAGATCCCAACAACTCATTCTCCACCAGCCCAAACTGTAGCTCATTTTATCTTCAGAAATCATTTATCGTTTAATATCTTACAATTTTAGGTAAATCCTCAGAGTCTTGAATTCTTGTGGTAACCAGCCTCCAAGGTGGCCCCCGATCCTTGCCTGGATTCCATACCCCTGTGTATTCATTCCCACCTGAATAGGGAGGGCTGATCTATGTAACCAATAGGATATTGTGGAACTAAAGGAGAGTAGCCTTTAAGGTTAGGTTATAAAAACCTAACCTTGCAGCTTCTGCCCAATTAAACCTCCAAAATTTCTTCTTGTGATGGTCTACTCTCCTGTTTTCATCAATAGAATGATTTCTCATTACTTACTTTAGTTTTAAAAGATCATTTTGGATCTTATTCTCCTTTAGCTTGCCATACTAGCACCATCTGTACATTTTTAAAATATGCATTACATTTCTTTCATGTTCAGTCAGAAATAAAAACACTAGAAAACATTGGGCCCAATATTGATTCTAACAGTCCTGAAAGATTCAGTATGTTTAGAGACTGACAATGAACCTATGATGATTTTAAGGTTATAATATTCTAAAATCTGAATACCCATTTAATATGGAGGTGCAGTGTGGGTGACAGATTAATTTGATCTCACTTTCATCTATCAGATCCATAACCATCTCTGGAGAACATTAGATTTAATTATCTTTAGTTAGATGGAAACCAATTTTTAAAGCATATATTCCACTGTCAAGTTTTACACGTTTTAAAAACACCGACAAATTCTACAAATCATGAAAAATTATCTAATACATTTGTAAAGGGTAGTGGGAATCCTTAACTTACTTAATTAGACAACCAAGATATGGCATTATGTCTTTATTTTTCATACAAGGTGCCGTTGCAGGTAACCAGAGAATACACTGTTGTTTTCAGATATACAGAACTGAACAAAAGCATTTTAGCATGCTGCTTCATTGTACATAGAAAACTGGTGATCATCTTCAGACACTAAGGCTAGGAAATAAAATGGGTTAATGTCATTTGTTGGTATGTTTATGAATCAGCAGTGTTATAGGCTGCCTTTACCTCAAAGCAGAATTAGAATCATTCTGGCAGCTTTGGGCAATCCTAAAATGCAGGTCTAGTGAAGCAGGTAACAAGCGAGCAAGACAGGTAACTATGACCCATTCTGAAGGGAGACTGATTTGGTGCCTGGCTCAGCACATTTTAAAAGAGTTGATATAGCCATCTTAACAGTTTAAGACTGAGTTTCCCTTACCACATAAGTTGGCAATCAGCATGATTGAGAATTTCTGAAACATTAGCTGAATAAGCCTAGGGATAAAAAAACAGAACACTGTCCATATAACAGAATTGCTACTTCACTTTTACCCACTTCTCACCTGTCGTCCTACAAAAACACCTCATCTGATGAATTAGTGAAAGCCTCTAACAACTGTAACAAGACCTTTCTTAACCCAGCTCTAGAAACTAAGTATCAGAAATAAGTGCCTGTGAAGTCAGGATGTCCAGGGGAAAATGGCAGTGTTTCTACTGGAGGTAAGTGTCAAGTTTCCTCTTGATGTTATCAAAGGAATCTGCTCCCATGTAATCAGCCTGGCCCTGTTCCCACCGCTCCTTCCGCTCTTCTGAGGATACTAAAGGCTGTGCCGTAGCCGAGATCTCCCCAAGGGACAGCTGTGATATAGCTCCTGAGACATCCTCCTAGAAATGAGAGCATAATCAGAGACTCCTTGAGAGCTGAAAATCAGACTGTTTTGAAGAATGCAATAAATTGAAGAAGGTGAGAAAAGCCAGGATGAATTTATCATGCAAAGTAGCAAAAACTGAAAAGTATTACATGAAACAAACAAAAAAAGACACAGAAATACAAGGGTCATATGATTTTTTCCTAACGAAATGAAGACTTCTTGACTCAGTGAAAACGTTGGGAGAACAAAGTAATTAGGGTTAATGTTTAAGTTCTGCATACCTTTCTACAGAAGCCACAAGAGAAAGCCAGTGTATAGACCAAGTCTGAAAGCTGCAAACAGTTCATTAGAAAGTGTAAGATGGATGGACAAGGGAACATAAGTTTCACGATAAATTCTTGATCTGTGTGGGCTCAGAAAGGTTGAGAACTTAAACAAAATGATACCTCCGAGGCTAAGCTAAGAATCTAACCAGAGCCACACCACATACACTAGTTGTCATGTTATAAAAGTGAGAGCTAAACCAAATTCATCTTCTTGTTCAAGCTTATTACCAAGTAGCATCTATTCTTGTAGCTTCTATTAATTTAATCAGCTTAGTTTTGAACAACTGTTTCAATTCCCATCTTCACCTTTCTTGGTTCATAATTCTCAGTCCTTGGGTTGCAGAAGGAACAAAGTAAATGTGCAGGAAATGGAGCAAACCTGATCTACCTTAAATTTGATTTTCATTATATAGATAGATATGCAGTTAATTTCAACTGTACCATAAAGGAATATCAAGGCTATCCTTCAAAAAGCTCTGAGGTAAGAAGGTACTGGAAATCTTAGCAGAGAGAAAGGCAAATGAATACATATAGGTATTGCTTTTGAGAAAGTGGTAAAGCAAAATTTTGATTACCTGTTTTTGTTACTATATATAAGTGTATATGTATGCATTTGAATATACTGGAACATTATGGTATTTGGGTGGATTCCATGGGACCATGTTATGGCTGAGGCAACATAAGTCCTTCCCTTAGATGAGCCTGGGCTTTGTCTTCCACTTGCAATGGGAGTGGCAGAGAGGATCCTCCAGGGTCCTCAGCTCACAATATTTTTCATTAGGGTAACAGTCTCTCAGACCTGGATTCGAGTCCCAGTTCTGCTACTAACTAGTCTGTTACACAACTAAGAGAAGTTATGTGACTTCGTTAAGCTTCAGTTAATATATAAAAGGGGGATATTAATAATAACAATACTTGATAAAGTAGTTGTAAAAATAGGTAACTTTTCTTAAGCACTTACCATGTGCCTAGCAATGTTCCAAGTACTGTACAAGTGTTATTTCATGATCCATATAAAACAATTAGAGTAAGAATGTGCAAGTTATTTTTCCCTTTCTCCTTTTTATATTTTGTTACAAGTGTTAATAAGTGAAATGGCTAAAATGTATACCATAGCAAAGAGACAGATCTCTTATAACCTTAGTCTCTTATAATTACAGCAAGGTAATTAACTGATCAGTTAGATTTGATTATAATTCACCCATTTGGTTCTATTCTTTTCATCTTAATCAGTAGCATAAAAGTTTAATTTCTTAACCTTTTCTAATTCTTCAAAAATAACAAACCTCAGAAGAAGACCTTTAAAGTCACAAAAGATGCTTAACAGTTTGTTATTATAAATGTTAATATGTCCACTTCCTCTTACAAGATTTCTTTAAAATACATTCTTCTGAGCAGATAGCAAAAATAATATAGGTATTTTTAAATGTCTGCAGTTTCTAAAACATGAAGTGGGTCATTCTTTATTTTTATAAACAACCGCTTTAGGAATAATCTTACAACCTTAGGACAATGGGCTAAGAATTTTGTAGTTACAATATATGGGTATACAGTAAAACCTCTAAAACCCTTTCTTATGCTCTAAGACCTAATGAAATTTGCCACAAAATCTACTGCTTTAGTCTTTGTTGGTAATATTTCTCCTCCTCTGAGTGGATATTGTTTTCTTTCCACAAAATCTTATTTATCTCTGTTTAAAATACCATGAAATACTCCATCTACTGGCATACCAAGTTTTTAAAAATACAGCATTAGTTATCTGAAAGGAAAAAACAGAACCTACCACATTTAGGTATGAGTGGGTGTCTTTGACAAGGCCAAATTCTTGAAGCAGAGGTAAAACACTGGTGGTAAAGATGTCCCACCACAGGTTGAGAAACTGTGGATGAATCATGGTGGGATCATGGGACTCACTTTTGACACTTTTTGTTTTAGGATCGTAAGCGTAATTCCACGGTTTGATTCGTCCCAGGAAATGCACAACCTTGGCATTTGCACCAAACCTGCCAAGTGAACACAAGTTGAAACGGTTAGTGGACTCTGAGTACTTAACAAAAAGATAAGCAGCACTTTGTTCCCTAGCCTTAACAGTGCACCTTCCATTCTGCAGTACTGGTTGGAAAGGAAATTGAGTTCACTGAAAAATTTTTAGACATGTTTTTAAGTTATTCAATTTTATGTTAAATATACATAAAAACCCAAAAGTATCAGTGGATCAGTGCAACAACAAAAACAGTAATTCATTGTGGATGGGAAAGGTATGACCACTTGGGAAACCATTTGATATTATCTTAGTAAAGTTGAAAATGCTCATGCTCTGCTCCATGTACCCTAACAAAACTCTTACACAGTGTAACAGGAGACATAATCAAAATGTTCAGAGCAGCAGCATTGTCTGAAACGGGCACAAACTAAAACCAACTGGAAAGACTGTGTTAGGTGTGATTACTTTTCAGCAAGTGTTCACTTCTTTTCCCAGTCTCCATGATGGAGTACACTTTCCTTCCTCACTGATGTTGGGCATGCTCATATGACTTGCTCTGGCCAACTGAATGTGGGCAGAAATGACAGTGTGCCTTAAAAAAAGCATTGTTTTTGTTCACCCTCCCTGGGACGCTGCAACGTCTGCCAGCAGAAGAATGTGCCCTGGGTAAAAAAAATGAGACACATGGAGCAGATGTGGATTAAACCTGTGACCTGGCTCCGAACCCAGCTGGGATTATCAGAGCTGTCCTAGCCTTTCTACAAATATGAGCAAGAAATGCATGTTTACTGTTGAATGCTACTGAGATTTTATGGTTATTCCATCCTTTTTTTTTTTTTTCATTCAAAAATATTTATTGAATATCAGCTCTATGCTAATCACTTCATTAAATATTCCCACTTTATAACTGCTCTTTCGACTTTTTAAGTTTCCATCATTTTTTTCCTAGACACAGACCCATATTCTCATTTGGTTGAAAGGAAAAGACTGAGATGAGGAGGCACACATTATCTGTGTTCCCCTTTCTATCTCTGGCAGAAAACTTAGCTAAAGATATTTTCCCTCATGTAATTTCAAAAGCAAGTATCACTTCTTCACCTTAAAATTTTAAATGGCTCTCTGTGCCTGTCCTATGTATTAAAACCCAAATTCATGACCTGGTTATTCACATTCTATTGTTTTTAAAGGACAACTTCTGGTATATTCATATCATGGAATGTGATACAAGAGTGAAAAATGAACTATAGCTATACACATCATGTAGCAAATGAGTAAATTTTTTAATTATACTGAAAAAAAAAGAAATACATACATTCAAATTAAACACCTATGAATCCACTTATATAAGGACAAAACCAAAAAAGTACTATTAAAGACTAGAAAAGCAATCAATATAAATTTCATGGTAAAATGGGACAAATCCATGGGTGTTGGGCTCAAGTGTTAGATTTTAGTGAATTTATCCTATAGGCAACCAAAGGATTTATTTGATCATGATATACAGAAATAATACAAACTCTATTCATGTTACTTTTCCTGTCTCCTAAAATTTTTTAATGTCAGAGACCTGTTATACAGCTATCATTATCTAAGAGTCTACTATGTTTGGGGCACCAATTATTTAAGGACATGATTGGGAATAACAGTCCTCCAAGTTAGATTTTACTAATGAGTTAATGGAGGCTCCTAGAGGCTGAGTTGCCCAGAGCCATACAGCTATTAAGTGACAGAGAGGGGATTTGGCAGTTTTGCCTCTCTCTTAAGCCTGAGCTCTTACCATTCTACCATGCTGCCATTCCAAAACTATTCAAGAAAAATAGAGCCTATTGTAAATTTCCTCCTAAGAGTGACTATCCCACAGTGCATTTCTTTTGAAAAGGAAGTAGATACCTGGTATCCACAAGTTTACTCTTTGTTTTACACACATAGTATATTTACATACATAACACACACACACTCACACACATACACACAAGTACTCAACTTTATCCTTAAAAGGATATGAAATCATAATGCTCAAATTTGTGCACAGATATGGCTATCAATTAAATAAGCAACTGTTATGTGAAAGGCACTATGCCCAGTGTATGGTCCCAAGAGGCTTTTGTCCAAACAGCAAGATAAGTCATCCATATAAAAATAAATAATAGCACAAGCAAGGCAACAATTCAAGGCTACCACGGCAATGCTGACATTAAGAGCTATGGAAATTCTAAAGCAATTTAGTGCAGGTAGGGGTTTTCAGAAGAGGCTTTGTACAGGAAGTGGGACCCAGATAAGGCCTGGGAAAAATAGGCAGGATTAATGTAACTGATTGGGGCTAGGGTACTGAGGGGCAGAACAGAAAGAGCTCACGAAGATTCAGGAGTGTGATGGCAGGGAAATTCATGAGAGAGAAAGGGAGAAAAATGCTGAAACATAAAGAAATCAAGTGCAGGCTTCAGATATTATTGGTTCAGGGTATGGTCAGCCCTATTTCTGGACAGTAAGGAATGGGAACTCTTTTTACTGGTATGAAGATATTACTTGAACCTAACTGCCACACACCTAACAGATCTATGGAAATGAACAGGGGTAGAAGGAAAACAAGTTTTAGAGCAAGGACTCTGAGAAGAGCAGGCTTGGGTAAGTCACCGAACATGGAAGGTTTGGGCTGGCCCAGTCAGGGACCTTTCGAGAGTTGGGGAAGGTGAGAAGTAAGATGCCTACTAAGTGGGAAACATAGGGCTCAGGAAGCTGAAAGGGAGGCGAAGACAGACTTTGAAGTTGGCATAAGGTAGCTATGCACAGGATGTGCCTGGAAATCACCTGGGGCTGCCCTGGGCCTAATATAATGGGGATTGTTAGGCCTAACAACACTGGCTACCCTATATGAAGGTTTGTAAGTTATACAGTTAAAGCTATATAACTATATGACTATGTACTAACTGTACAAACAGAACAGTATTTATTTACACAGAAAAGCAGTCTGAAGGACTTGCTCTATTAGCGTTCATAATAAAACACTTTGTTTACAAAAAGAAGAGCAAAATGTTTCAGTTTTTGTATCTAGAGTTTCAATTAAGATATAAATTTCATGTAACTTTTTAATGTATCATATTGCCTGAGAAATTTGTTTAAAAATAATTTTCTATTATTTTAATCAATTTATTCAGTCATTAATGGAAATCCAAAGTAACCATATTAAAATAAAATAAATAAGAGCACGAGTCATAAGCACAAGAGGAAATTACTACTTTCTTCAAAGAATATTTTATCCTAAATGCAAATTTGGGAGTGTTCCTCATAGAAGGGTAACCCAGGATAGTTTTCTGGCGTTAGCTCTCCCTCACCAAAGGCAACAGTCAGGTACCAGTTAGAGTTAAGGTTACTTGCCTAAAAGCAAAATAGTTGATGAATAAGAAGGGGAAATGTTGATGTCAGAAGATAAAGTCAACTGACCTCGACCCAGAACAAGGATAACCAGAAGATTTACTGACTCACTGCCTGATTTATCCATCAAATTACCAGCCAGGAACAATAAAAAAAAAAGTTGGTTACATATCACAATTGTCTCTAAATTACTGAGAGCCATTCATTCTGACCCAGTAATGGGGATTTGTCTCAGCTTGCACACATCTCTTAAAATAAGTGTTCTAATTTTAACCACACAGAATCTCAAAAGAGACGTCCAGATCACAAGACATAGTTTGAACCCGAGCCAGCAATAATACTGCTTATGTTAGCCATTAAAATAATCCTTGTGACCTAATGTTACCAAAAGATCAGAGAGAATTTTCATGACTAGTTTAGAAGTTGAGAAATGTAGCTGGTAACATGTGGATGAGACTACAGAACTGTTTAGAATGAAAAAAATCCATCACAGTGCACACATGGACAATTTAATGTGAAACTCCTTATGTGCAATGTTCAATTAGGTACCAAGAAAGAGAAACTGCACTGCTTGTGAGACCCTTCTCTGGGAAGGTGGCAGCAGTGCCAGCCATCCTCTGCCCACTCCGATGACTCGTGTTCTCTGGTACATGGCCACTTGCTCTTATACCTTCTTAGACTTACTCTCACACAAAAACCCTCCTCCTACAACCAATTAGCCACCTCTCTTTTCTCATCAAAAAAAAAAAAAAAATTCCTACGCTTACCCACTCAGTCTAAATCAAGTGTCTTAAACTCAAGTGCCCATAGGGTGGGCTGGTCAGGCAGAGGAGTGGACCTGGTGAGGTGGGGACTGTGGAGCATGAGCAAGCGCATGTTCCATCATCAGAAAACAGCTGCTATCCAGAAAACAACTGTGGCCACCAGGGACCCTCCCAATTCTTCCTTGCCTTTCAAGCTAAATAACCCTCCCAATTGTGCTCTGGAAATCAGTACAAATATCAGTACTCAAAGCCAGACTTCAATTACCTAGACTAGGACCTACCAGGTCGGCCTCTCTTCACAAAGTAGGCCAGGGAAAGCCTCACAAAGCCAGGCCACCAGGGAGACTTTCCTGGGGTTAGTATGTCATTCTTAGTCTCTCTTGGCTCATTCATTCATTCATTCATTCATTTAAAACAATAAATCCACCTCCCTACCTGCATCTGTACCCGTGCACTCTGCCTTCCTTCATGGTATTGTCCTGACTCTCTTCTGAAGCTGACCTCTCCACTATGCACTAGGATGCATCCCCTTTCACCTACTCAAGGACATCCTGCCAGCAAGTCTCCCTTCAGCTTTCTGCATTATAACTGTTCTCTCTCTTTCTCCCTCCTTCATCATTCCCATCAATATACAAACATGCTGTAACTTCTGTGATCTTTACAAAACAAACACCACCCTCTTGATCCTACATCGCCATCCAGCCACCAACCAACTTCTCTGCTCCCTTTTAAAGAAAATGTTCAGAAGAGTTGTCTACATTCACGATCTTCAATTCTCTCTTTTCTTGGATCTGCTTCAATAGGCTCTCTCTTCCACCATTCCACCAGATGTGCTCTTGCTGAAGTCACCAGTGACCATCACATTCTAGGTTCAGTGCCAGTT